AAAAAAAAAAAAAAAATAGTTGAGATGGTAAATTGTATGTTAACATGTATTTCACTACAATTATATTTTAAAAATTGATTTCCATTTGATATTCTGAAATGTGCTATAGATTCAAGGCTAATGCTGTATTCAAATAGGGTGCTCTAACTTTTAAAGAAAAACGATATAATTCTTTTAAAAGCTGTAAGCATAACATCATATGCTTTCCACTTGGAGGAAACTTTGTGCTGTGTATGGTACTTTCCCAGAACATCAGTGAGGAAGGTGGGATGCTGAGGGCTTGAGGAAGGGGTTCTCCTCTGCGTGGGTGGTGGTTCCTTCTGAGCTGGGGGAGGGCGGCGGTAAAGCACTTCATAGGACGTGATTCTGGCCCCAGAGGAGATGGCAGTGTAGACGGACACAATTTGCCAGTATTTGAACCTCTAGACCAGAAACCAGCACACTTTTTCTGTAAAGAGCCAGATAGGAACTATTTTAGCCTTTGCCGGCCACATATGGTCGGTATCAAATATCTTCTTTGTTATGCTTTGTTTGTTTTTTAAAACTCTTGAAAAACCATTCTTAACTCGAGGGCTGTCCAGAAACAGGCTTTGAGACCCGTTGACTCAATTTGTTTTGTCCTGTTTGTTCACAGGAGACCATCGGGATGCTTCTCAGAACAGTCATAGCAAAATAGAGGTGAGTCCTTTCACTTAGGAAATCTCTTGGGTTGTGTATGAGTTTCCTGGGCTGTAACAAACCACCATAAAATGGGTGGCTTAGAGCAACAATAATGTATTCCCTCACAGCTCTGGAGGCTAAAAGTTTGAAATTAAGGTGTCAGCAGGGCCACGCTCCCTCTGGAGGCTCTAGGGCAGAATCCTTGCTTGCCTTTTCCTAGGTTCTGGTGGTTGCCTGCAATCCTTGACATTCCTTGGCTTGTGGACTCAGCACTCAGAAGTCTGCCTGTGTCGTCACATGGCCTTCTGCCTGTGTGTCTGTGTCCAGATTTCCCTCCTTTTATAAAGATACCAGTCATTGGATTAGGGCCCCCCCAATCCAGTATACCCTAATTTTGATTACCTCGACCAAGACCTTATATCCAAAGAAGGTCCTATTCCCAGGTACCAGGGGTTAGGACAACATATCTTTTTGAGTGGACACAATTCAACTCACAACAGGCTGTGTTAAGACAGATGTGAGCCTCTTGACACTTCAGAACGTGTTAAAATCCTAAGGTGATGCTTGCATGAAGACACGGCTTCAGAGAAAAGTTCCTGTCATTTGTGAAGCCCAAGTTGTTTCTTTTAAATCACACTGACTTTTCCTCCTCTGCTTCTTTCAGCCAGTGGATTTTAGCTGGAATACGTATTCCGATGGGAAGCTTGTATTTTATGACCATTATCTCGTCGAGCAAATCCAGTCGGGGAAGGAGCCGGAAGTGCGACAGTTCTTCTTCCTGCTGGCGGTGTGCCACACGGTCATGGTGGACAGGCTCGATGGTGAGTGTGGCTCTCGCATCTCGGACACTGGGGACCAGTTTTTTTAGTTTACGGGGAACTCGTGCTTGGGACTCGAATGCACATATAAAGAGTTGTATGAACTAGAGGTGTTTCAGTTAGGTTTCAATTATGATATTTTATACCCCAGAGAAGTGCATGGCTTACATGGCATACTCCAGGGAGCCTTGCCTTCTAGATCCTGGGTTCTATTTCCCATAGGTAATTCTTTGCCAGAGATATCCTGCAAAAGGCGTTTCTGATATAAGCTTTCTTCTTCCTAAAAAATATGATTGGTCTGTTTACCCAGAGGGCCAGCTGACAAAACAGTTAGACCAGGTCGCCTGAGTCCTTTTTTTTTTTTTAATCCCCTCTGGGGAAAAGAAGTGAATGGATAGCAGTGCAACTGTCTTAAAGTCCTTCTCCCAGGGATCCTGTCACATATTTCAGAGAACCCAAATACCCTCAAAGTAAATGACTTCTGAAAATTCCCATCTCAACCCGGTGAGATTTAAACTTTAGAATCACAGGATCGTATGAATTATGATGGTATATCACGTCAAGTTTCAAATGATTGCAGCCTGAATCCACATAGCATATTGCAAATCATCACTAAATTAATTCAAAGTACAAATATAACAAGGTGTATACATATTTCCTATAATAACAAATATTACTGTCCAAAGGAAAAATAAAAAGAGAGTTGTGTGCGTGACAAGTTTGTCGAATCTCCACCCAAACGACGACTGTCTGTCGGCCCCTTCCACTAGATGGTATACGAGCCAGCAACCCATGAAACAGGCTCCTGGCCTCCGGAAATATACATCTCCTTCACAGTTCTAGCGCCAGATGTGTATATCACTTTGGAATTGAAATCTTATCAGTAAGAAAAATGATTGACTCTTGCATTATAACAGAAGAATCAAAATCTTCTCGCTATCTGAATACTTAATATTTATGAAGAGTCACACCTTATCTGGATGATAAGGGGACTTTAAACTTGGACAGTCTTTACTACAAAATAATTTCAGAGAGAACTTATTTTTTACATTCAGATGTGTTTGGGGTTTGAAGTAGTAGCAGCCAAAAGCCTAGGCCTCCTGAAGGTGCCTTTTTCTTTTGAAGGAACATAATTCATGTGTATTTGCATGGGAACAAGCAAGTTGACTTGTAGATTCCTCTGAAGAATTCTATTTTTTTTTAATTAACCTTTTTTAAAAAAATTGAAGTATAGTTGATTCACAGTGTTGTGTTAATTTCTGCTGTACAGCAAAGTGATTCAGTTATACATGTAGGTACATTCTTTTTTGTATTATTTTCCATTATGGTTTATCATAGGATATTAAATACAGTTTCCTATGCTATACAGTAGGACCTTGTTGTTTATCCATTCTATACAGTAGTTTGCATCTGCTAATCCCAAACTCCCACTGCATTCCTCCCCTTCCCTCCCTCTCCCTCGGCAACCACAAATCTGTTCTCTCTGTTTGTGAGTCAGTTTCTGTTTAAGTTCATTTGTGTCATATTTTAGCTTCCACAGATAAGTGATATCATATGATATTTGTCTTTCTCTTTCTGACTTCACTCAGTATGACGATCTCTGGGTCCATCCATGTTGCTGCAAATGGCATTATTTCATTGTTTTCTTATGGCTGAGTAATATTCCATTGTGTATCTATACCACATCTTCTATTCATCTGTCGATGGACATTTAGGTTGTTTCCAAGTCTGCAGCATTCTTAAATGCAGCTTGTGCTAGCTTTGTTAGAGCAAATTTGGCGAGTATTAATGAAAGCTAGGTATCTTGTCACCTATGGACACAATGATACATTATATAGATACACATGTGCATTCTGGAGAGAGCAAAAGGTGCCCTTTTGTCATATGCATTCTCCACTTTAATCAGCCCAGCGTTTCTGTTTCCTGATGCTGAGGCTTCACATGTAGTGGATGAAATCTCCAGAGGAGAAATAGACATTAAAAACTAAATGTGTAGAAGCTATTGGAGGTAAAAGAAAAAATGATTTTGGCTTTGATACATAAAAGCACCTTGAAAGGGTCCATTGGAAGGGACCTTGGGAGTAACTCCTCCAAATGTTATAGATGAGGAAATTCAGACCAGAAGCACCAAGACCTACCTGATCTCAGACAGCATGTTAGGACTCATTTTAGCTGAGTCCTTCCACTCCACCATGCTGGTGTGCCTCTGCTCTTGCACTCTCATTTTCCCTCTTTTACAAGAAGAGTAGAGATTGGCTCATCTTTTATTATGCATAACATCAACAGTGAGAGGTGAGAATCTTGTCACGTATGCTCAGCAGAAGGTTTGTGTGGCCCAAGTGTTGAGTACATGTAGGGCACGTGGAGGCTGAGTGTGGAGAAGCTGCATTGGTTTTCTGTTGCTCTGTAGTGGATCACCACAAGTCAGTGGCTTAAATCACCCATTCATCAGCTCACAGTTCTTTAGGTCAGAAGTCTGGGCACATGGCGTGACTGGGTTCTCTGCTAAGAATCTCCCTAGAATCAAGGTCAGGCCACGTTGTCAACTGGAGATCAGCATCCTCTTGCAAGCTGAGAGCAGGATTCAGTTCTCTGTGGTTGTAGGACTGAGGTCTCCATTTCCTTGCTGGCTGTCACCTGGGGCTGCTTTCTGCTCCCAGGGCCTCCCTCCTTCCTTGCCACATGGTTCCCCCTGTCTTCAAACCAGCAGTGGAGAATCTCCCTTCCATCAAACCCCTTTCATGCTTCAAATCTCTCACTCCAGGAAGAGCCCCGTCCCTTTTGAGGACTGACCCAGTTAGGTTGGGAACACCCAGATAATCTCCTTATCTTAAGGTCAACCCCGATCTGGACCTGAATTATATCAATAAAATCCCTTCCCAGCAGTACCTTGGTTAGAGTTTGCTTGAGTCACTGGGAGAAAGTGTATGTGTACACAGGGTGGGGAGACATACCTTGGGGCCATCGTAGCCTCCTGCAGAGGCCATGGGAGAGAAGAGTTCGAAAGGCTTGGAGGCAATTATTTTGCCTGAAGCCCTTTAAGTTGGGATGAACCATGAGATTATGATTAGAGAGCTGAGTTTTAGGAGTTTTGAGCCAGGACACACAAGATGGGTGAGGAAACTGAGGACCTGGGTTAGCGTGGAGTCTTTGGGAAGGATGAGAAAGTAACAAATGGTGGGGGCGGGGGGGGGCGGATAGTCAATCTGAGACGTAACTTGTTTCAAGACTGGTGACTAGAAGATTATCAGCCAGAGGAAGCTATGGAATCAGGATAATGAGAGGTGGGGTTTGTTGTTTCAGCATCTATTTTATTTGCATCAGTTCTGTGATCCACAAATTCGTCTGTAAAAGAAAAGAAAGTCTCTTTGGTTGTGTCTGAGCGTGTGGTAAATAAAGAGTTTTCTTCAGAAGAGGTTTCAGGAGGTTAATTTTTAGTCCAGGTTTCCTCCTGCAAACATAAAGTTGGAGTTTGGACCAGGTCTCTGAAGTTCCTCCTGTCTCTATTAGTCTGCAATTCTGTGATTCCATTACTAGAACAAAATGGAAGGATTTTCTTTTAATGATAAAAATATCAGTGTTCTCTCCAGATATGATTGTCTTACTCATGGGAACTTTACCACCTTTTATCATTTTGTTCCTTTTCTTTCTGTTGGAAATAAGTTTGCCTTCAGTATGATGCAATATATCCCTGCCAGTGAAACTTGCTGAAGGGAGGGGACTGTGTTCTCACTGCTGCTTGTTTAGCTGTGGTTAAATATTTTACCCTCTGGCATGTGTGTGTGTTTGTAGAATGGCTAGATTTAGCAAGTACATTCATAACTTCTGGTGTATGACTTTCTGGGTGAACAGATGGAGAGAGACCAACCTAACTGTCATCTTTAATTACTATTTGGGAGTGATTAATATTGACTAAGAGTGAACCACCTGCGTATGTATGTGAAGGGAGTAGGGTAGGGACGGGGCGTTTAGCTCTACCTACAGCTGTGCACCCTGGGGCATCCGCCCCCTCCCCATAGACGGATGGGGTAAAGAACTGCCCATCCATCTATGGGTGCATCCTGATCATACCATGGTGGAAAACGAAATGCCTTTTCCTGTGGAGATTCATCTGACTATAGAAATACTTTTCATTCTACTTTGAGATGGAAGAACTAAGAGCGGAAAAATAGAAACTCTTGGATAGCTGGAGCTTTTTTTTTCTTTTAATTTTTTACTGAGGTACAACATGTATACGGAGACAAGCATAGAGCTCGTTTTCACAGGTTGAATACTCCCTTGTCGTGAGTACACAGATTTTTACAGACAGAACATTTTCCATCCCCTAGACATCCCTTTTATGTTCCCTTTCAGTCATTGCCCCTCCAGGGGTGACTACTGTCCTGACTTCGAACAGTGTGGGTAGGCTTTGTCTGTTTTGCGGTTCGTGTAAATGGAATTATGTGGTATGTACTTGGTGTCTGGCTTCTCCACTCAACATTGTGAGATTTACTCCTATTGTTGCAATTTAGTTGTGAAATAAAGGCAGTTTCCCATTATATAACTTTCAAATATCAAGATGTTGAACAGATTGATACATTTTGAGACTTTTTTAAATTATGAGAATATAGCTAAGTTGAAGAAAGCACGCTCTTCTAGAGGGAAGATAACCTGGTACAACCCTTTTAGAAAAGAAGTGAGTAAAATATATGCCAACAGGTTTAAAAATTCACGACTAGGAAGCTATCCTTAGAAAATAGAGTCAGAAAAACCTTTATACACATACAAAATGCTTATTACAGTGTTTGTAAGTTATTTATTTATTTTTTAAACTTTTTTTTAGTGGTTTGAAAGAAGGCAGTTTTGTTTGTTTGTTTATTTATTTATTTATGGCTGTGTTGGGTCTTGGTTGCTGGACGCGGGCTTTCTCTAGTTGTGGTGAGCGGCGGTCACTCCTCGCAGCAGTGCACAGGCTTCTCATTGCGGTGGCTTCTCTTGTTGCGGAGCACAGGCTCTAGGTGCGCGGGCTTCAGCAGTTGTGGCACGCAGACTCAGTAGTTGTGGCACACGGGCTTAATTGCTCCGTGGCATGTGGGATCTTCCTGGACCAGAGATCGAACCCATGTCCCCTGCATTGGCAGGCAGATTCCCAACCACTGCACCACCAGGGAAGTTCACAATGTTATTTTTTAGAGTAAAAAAATTGGGGGAAGGAACTAAGTGCCTGTAATAGGAAAATGGTCACATGTTACATTCACAGGTTACATTCCTTTAAAATAACACATAGAAAGACTTTTTTAAAGCTATGATAACATGCTCAAAATACAATGTTAAAATAATCAGGATGTAAATGTATATTTAGCATGATGGAAACTATTACAGAAATAGGCATTTCCAAAAGAACTGGAAGAAATGATAACAGAATGTCAATAGTGTTGTTTTTCCTCTAGATGGTGGGATTATGAGATTTTTTTTTCCCCTCTTCTTGGCCAGATTTTTCTTTTTTTTTTTTTTTACTTCTAGTTTATATCACTGTTTATGATTAGAAATAAAAGTTTACCTTTTAAAAACTTTAAAATTAATGTTGGCATACTCCTTAAAAATCAGTGACTTGTTTTCTTGAGGCTGATTTGGGCTTCGCAATACAGTTGGTCCTCTGTGCCTGCAGATGCGGAACACCAGCTGTATCTACTGTAGTCTGCCATTTTATAAGGGACTAGAGCATCCACGGAATTTGCCTGCGGGTGCTCCTGGAATCAGTCCCCTGCGGGTACCGAGGGGTAACCGTACATCCTCACCCAGCACGTGAACTGCACTGGTGAACCCTTGGTGGTGAGCTCAGCTTTTCTCGTTTTCTCTCCTGCCTCGCTTGCTAGGTCAGCTCAACTACCAGGCGGCCTCTCCTGACGAAGGTGCCCTGGTAAGCGCCGCCAGGAACTTCGGTTTTGTCTTCCTCACCAGGACCCAGAACACGATCACCATCAGTGAGTTGGGCACTGAGAGGACCTACAGTGTTCTCGCCATTTTAGACTTCAACAGTGACCGGAAGCGAATGTCTATAATTGGTAGGTCTCCCCTCAGGGTATGTCTATGAATGGCTCATTGAGATGCTGCCTTTCACACATTTTATTTAGCGACACCAGGATAAAATAGGCAGTGAATGAACCCCTTGGCTCCCGGAGGATTTCCGCAGGCTTGTCCAAACTAGTGTTTTCTTTCTTCATTCTACACCATGTCCATCACTCGAAGGGACAAATGCAGTAGATCTGAATCTTGCAGATGTTGGTGTATCTTCAAAGATGTGGGCTGCCAGCTGTGGAATCTGGGTGGCAGCACCGTGGGTGGTAGACCCACATGAGCTTTTATATCGTGAGTCACTCTGAGGACTTCTGCTGGAGGCTTGAGGGACACCAGGGAAGGGAGAGTGTAGCAGGAGAGGAGCTCTGAGAAAAGCGAGGCTGTGCTTAGGAATCAAAATCATACCTCCAGCCCAGGCAGCCAAGTGGAGACAGTGATCACTTCATAATACTGAAATAATTTCAAACTTACAGAAAAATTGCAAGAACACTTGAAAGAACTCCTGTATTTTCTTCCATATCCACCATTGTTAGCACTGGTCACAAATTCTTTGTCATTATCATTTACAAGTTCTTGTTTTCTCAGCCATTTGAGAGTCAGTTGCAGATCTCATGCCCCTTTCCCCCAAATACTGAAGTAGGTATTCCCTAAGATCGGGAACCTTCACCTATTTTTATATACAGTACACTGATCAGACTCAGAAAATTTAACATTACAGTATTATTATCTGTACAGAACGTTTTCGAATTTTACCAGGAATTCTCTTTCTGATTCAGGACCCCACCTAATATTCCATATTGCGTTCGATGATTGTTACTCTAGTCTCCTTTATTCTAGAAGAGTTCCACAACCTGTTTTTGATCTTTCATATGCTGACATTTTTGAAAAGCCCAGGCCTGTTATTTTGTCGAGGGTCTCTCAGTTTGGGTTTGTCTAATGTTCCCTCATAATTAGATTCAGATGACGCACTGTTGGCAGGAAGGGTACGTAGATCGGTGCCGTGTCTTTCCCAGCATATCACATCAGAAGGCGTGTGACTGCTGGTCACATCAGCTTGGATCACTGGGTTAAGTGATATCTATAAGCTTTTCCACCATGAGATTGACTTTTTAACCAAAAAGATATATAGGTTTAACTGCCTCCTGAACTCGGATTAGGCTCATTTTACTGAGTGCTTTCTGCGTACCCAGCACTGATCTGGGCTGATATCATGCCTGGCATCTACCTTAGAGAACTTAAAATCTAGTTACTGATGAAACACGTAATACAATTAAATTACTGCAGAGATCAAAAAAGCCAAGAAAATGGTCACAAGGAGCGTGTTTTGGTCCCAGTATTAAAGGCAGTTAAGTGTTGTGGGTTTATAGGTAAGAAAGATTCCCACTGGCTGGCATGGACAAAAAAGGGTCTATGGAAGAAGCTAGCACATAGTAGGGAGTCAGTGAATATTTGCTGAAAGAATAAGCAAGGCTATGGAAAACTGAGCTGACTGAAGGAATCTTTTCATATTTATTTCACTATTACATTCTATGTAGACAGTGGCTTACCATCGTTGAGAGCAACATTTTTCTCAGTACATTGCTGATTTTAAACTAATTATGAATGTTTAGCACTGTAACACTTCAAATTAACTTTACTTTTCTTTTAAGAAATCAAACATTAACTTTTTTATTTGCTTTTCCTTCCCTTGCTACTAGTAAGAACCCTAGAAGGCAATATCAGGCTTTATTGTAAAGGTGCTGACACTGTAATTTATGAACGGTTACATCGAATGAATCCTATGAAACAAGAGACACAGGATGCCCTGGATGTAAGTCTCACTTCCACTCTTTATGCCACAGATTCCAAACTTATTTTCTGGTACTATCCCTTAAGCTGGAATGAAAGCTCTCTGTTAACTGTTGACCTTTCTATTGTCTTGGTGTAGTTGAGTGGAAAGAGCACCAAAGTAGGAATATGTTCTGTCCCTGATGCTGACTTCCTAGGAAATGACATTGCTGCCTCTTCCCAGCATCCAGGTCAGCAGTATCTACAGGACTGATCCAGGAGAAAGACTGGTCTTTCTTCTGGTGAACTCCAGCAAGCTACATAACCATCCTGTGCCGTAGTCTCCAAGAATTCCAACGTCCTAGTGTACAGTGAAGGAAAGAAAGCATTCATGTATGATAGGGCATGACAAAGCAGTGCACTGGATAACCAAGTTCTGATATCTTTGTTAGAGAATCACTTTGGTCTTCATTACTTCAAACTTGCTATTTTAGGGGACTATGTACTTGGTCCAGTGATACTGCAATTATTCAGAATGCTTCTGGAAATTTCTCTTTTAGAATCGCCTACCAACCCTTATATTGTTTTGCTTATATATAATGATGGCAATGAAGTATGGAGCATATCTGTCAGATCTGGTGTCCCAGTTCTGCCTCTTTACTTGTTTTGTGCCCTCTGGGGGGAAATGGTTGATGTCTCCGATGAATCATTAATTGCCTGTGTGGAAGAGGAAGGGGATAATTCCTACCATGGATGGTTGGTGCAAAGCCTCTTGGATGAAAACCATCTTGCACAGCCCCTAGCACTTAGTAGGTGCTTAATAAAGGGTTTTTTTCTTCCCTTCACTTGATGGGTCAGAGTTTGGGGGCCAAAGGTCCTTCAGAAAGAAGCCTGATGAATATGATGTTTAGTAAGTGGGGTCACATTTTAAGGTTATATATGTTACTGAAGCAGTTACACTGGATAATTTCTCATGAGGAGATGAACAAGGGCAGTCTAACCAAATACATGCAGAACCTTGCAAAGAGTCTTTGACAACAGACCCTCAGTTGGGTGAAGCAGTTCTGCCATTTTGGGCTAGACAAGATGTGATTGTGAAGTAATGGAACATTTTTACTGGTTCATATTTAAGCTATTTAAATTGGCTTAAATCTGTTCACCATGATTAAATCTTCCAGACTCTTTCATTAAAATGTTTTATCTCAGCTTTAACAGTGACTCATGTATTTCAGAATTGGTTTGAGGGAATAATGCTTGGTTGAGAGTTCATAGTTGATTGGACTTGTAACAGTTTGTAGAAACAAATTATAAAGGTGTCAGGTCTGGTTTACAAAATCATTATACCCCAAGGCAGCTTCCTTGGTCTGTTATTTTCTTCGTTAAGAGAAAAAGGGTTTTTTTAATTCTCATGACTTGATTTAGAAGAAAGATATGCTTTTCCCTTGAACTAATTTCGGAACGACGAATATATTCCTAAGATATTGAGAATACTTAGAAAAATAAAGTATTTGTTTAATCTCCTCTATGGAATGTATGTGTACAGAATTCATCTTTCACAGTCTTTTAAAATTCTCTTATTGTATTATTTCAAAGTAAGATTTCAAACTTGATCTTGAATTACATAAAATTAACTATTCTTTGGGTGAATGGATTGTCTTTTAAATTAAACAGATCTTTGCAGGTGAGACTCTTAGAACCCTGTGCCTTTGCTATAAGGAAATTGAAGAAAAAGAATTTGAGGAATGGAATAAAAAGTTTATGGCTGCAAGTATAGCCTCAACCAACCGGGATGAAGCTCTGGATAAAGTATATGAGGAGATTGAAAAAGACTTAATTGTGAGTTTTAACCTTTGTAACTTTCTCCTTGATATTCCAAACAGAATTGGAAATTTTATTAAGTTTTATTACAGTTTTGATCTCATGCTTGAAAGAGAATTCCAACTTCAGTATTTGAAATTGGTGCAGTGGATCTAGGTCACCTGAATTTCTTTTGTTCAGCAAGCAAAATAGGAGTTGCCATTAGGAGAAACCAAATGACAGAAAACACGATGAGATTCTGATTCTGTTATTTTTATATCACTTACTAAATTCACTGTGATTTGTATGCAGTAACAAGCCCGCATATACTTATTACATTGTGAGAATTACTGAGATGATTTATATTTTGCAAAATCTTGAAATGAGAAAATATACCATTTGTTAAAGAGACCTTTTAAAGTTTAAGACTTACTGCTTTTAGTGTTTATATTAAAAGGAAATGTTCAGTGAATAGTTAGTATTGACTTTTAGCAAGAGAAATTGGCTTGTGTCCGTGTAAAGTAGTATACACGCAATGAAAGTATCTTTTTATTGTCTTTGATTTGTACTTACATTTTGTCTTGGTGAATTACTTTAAGAAAAAATTTTTGGCTGTTTAGTTTTTGATGAGTATGACACATGACAGCCTTCCCAGTTAATGCTGGCCACTGGCCCCAATAGAGCACCAACTGGGGTGTATTTAGTCCTTTTTACAGTTTGGCAAACTGCAATTAAGAACATTTTTGGCTTATTTGCTAATTCCTTTCTTTTAATGTACATTTCAGCTATTGGGAGCAACAGCTATTGAAGACAAGCTACAAGATGGAGTCCCAGAAACCATTTCAAAACTTGCAAAAGCTGACATTAAGATCTGGGTGCTTACTGGAGACAAAAAGGGTAATTTAGTTTGCACGGAAGCATATCTGTCAATTCACAAATATTCATAGCTCCTGTTTCCCTTGCTCAAGGTGACCTCACACTTTCCATCCTCTACAAACACTGTCTGTTTCTTTGGGACAGAGACTCTTTCCCTAAGAAATCCTTCTGTCATTCCAGCCCATCCTGACCGCATCCTTCCCGAAGGTCCCTCAGTAGCAGAGTTTACTCCTTAAAATTGAGCTCTTTGTCGTGTCTTCCTGATTGTGTTTAGTCTTCTCTCCCCTACCAGATGTGGGCTGCTATACTGGGCTGCTATACTCTGGTCCCTTCTGTCCTCCCCAGCACTTTGCCACCTGTTGGGCACAGAGTAGAACAGTACAAAATACTGAACAACAACTTTTGTTTTCTTGCCCCTTTTACTGCTTGAAAATTATAATGAAAATTTTATACCCAAGGGAAGATTTTCATTTTTAAATTTAGAGCTCAACAAGTTGTTTTTATTGATTCTTTACTTCAGAAGCCTCCCATGGGAAACTAGATCACTTCTCTTACTCTGATTGACATAGTTGATGGGTTACACACTTTGATAAGCTAAGGGATTAAGTCCTGACCTAAACAAATAATGGTGGTGGAAGAGGGGGAAAAAACCTCCAGTAGGAACCCCATGTGAGGGCTTATGGAAATGGTTATCCTTCTCCCCCATAACAGAATGATTAAACCACATGAACTAAATGTGTTCAGTATTTCAATCAACATTGATTTATTAAATAACCGGTTTATGTATTTGATATATAGCACATTTTATTATTGAAAACATCTCAACCAGACTTTGACTTATTACATTTACTTTATTACAGAGAAAGGGATTTTTTTTATGTGATTTCTAGACATTGCTACAGAAAAACAACATATCTGATTGAATCTGGTTCATTAATTGAAAAAATATCATTACTAAAGTCCATTATTAAATTCATCAGTAGGAATGACATTTGACTTAACTTTTTTCTGTTGCAGAAACTGCTGAAAATATAGGATTTGCCTGTGAACTTCTTACTGAAGATACCACTATCTGCTATGGGGAAGATATCAGGTGGGTAAAGGGCCTGCAGTATGAGAATGTCACGTCTCATTTTTATAAAAGCAAGACTAGACCCAGTAGACACAGCAGATACAGAGAAATGGGAGCTAGAATGTGTCAGTTGGCACAGTTTCCTCAAGTTTAAATGAAGCAAGGAAACAACGGGCAGCTCCAATTCACCATGTTTCGACCTTATGTTGTAGGAAAACCTGGGGCCTTGTTTGCCTTTTCAGGGGCCGTTTTTCTGTATTCCTTGGAAGCGCTCAGTGCTTGTCTGCTGAAAAAGGAAGTGGGCTTGAGACACCACTATTTAGTATGAATTATATACGTATTTTTTCTCTTCCAGCCTTTAGTGACTTGTCTTGATCACTCCTTATTTTCAACTTGAAAATGAGAATTAATGTGGAAAGTGAATAATAAATACCTAATCTTCTAGTGCAGTGGTTTTCAACTGGGGTAGGGGAGGTGGGGACTTTGCCTTCTGGGGAACATTTGGCAATGTCTGGAGACATCTTTGACTGTCACGGTGGGGAAGGAGGGGGGTGCTCCTGGCTTCCAGGGGGTAGAGGCCAGGGATGCTGCTGAACACCCTACAGTACAATAGACAGCCACACGCAACACGGAATTAAGTGGCCCAAGACGTCAGTAGTGCCAAGGTTGAGAAACCTGTTATTAAAGGTGAAGAATAAAGGCTCAATGTGTGTAACGAGGAAAACTCTGGCTGAGATTTCGGAGTCCTGAGTCCTCATTGCAGTTTTCCCATCAACTCGCTGCAGGCAAATCACGTTCTCTCTCTCGGGCTTGATTTCCTTATTTGTAACGTGAAGAAATTGGATATTTACAGTCCCTTTTACTCCAAAATTCCACGACTCATTTTTCTATCCCATGAGTGAGTCGTATGTGGTCTTCTCAATAATTTGTTGATATAAAGCACTGAGAACATCTCAAAAGCAGACATAACTTTGTGTGGAAATAAGTTTTTTTCTGCCCAACAGTGGTCACTGTTAGTAATACACTACGGTTCACCCCTGTGTATTATAATTCAGATCAAGATTGCCCTCCTTCTGTTGCTTGTGAACACATTTTCAACTGTATCTTCCTTTAGCTGCCTTTGGCAAATAATGAAGTACCGTGAACATGGTGCCTCCGTGGTGGAGGAATCAAGACTTAGTAAGATTATATGCCACTTAATTAAAAAATGGCCAAAGGACTTGAATAGACATTTCTCCAAAGAGGACATACAACTGGTCAATAAACATATGAAATAATGCTCAACATCACTTAGCATTAGAGAAATACAAATTAAAACCACAATTTCACCTCACACGGATGGCTACTATTTAAAAAACACAGAAAGTAACAAGCCTGGGCAAGTATGTGGAAAAATCTGAACCCTGTGCACTGTTGGTGGGAATATAAAATGGTGCAGCCACTATGGAAAACAGTATGGTGGTACCTCAAAAAAATTAAAAATAGAATTACCATATGATCCAGCAATCCCACTTCTGGATATATATCCAAAAGAATTAAAAGCAGGGACTTGAACAGATATTTGTCCACCCATGTCCATAGCGGCATTATTCACAATAGCCAAGAAGTGGAAGCAACCTAAGTGTCCACTGACAGATGAATGGATAAACAAAAATGTGGTACATCCATACAATGGAATATTATTCACCCTTAAAAAGGAATAAAATTCGGACATATGCCACATGAATAAACCTTGAGAACAGTGAAATAAGATAGTATTAAGTGAAATAAGCCAATCACAAAAAGACACATACGATTCCATTATATGAAGCAGAGTGGTGATTACCAGGAGCTGGGGGGAGGGGAGAAGTGGGGAGTTGTTATTTAATAGGTATAGAGTTTCATTTTAAAAGCTGAAAAAGTTCTGGAGATTGGTGATATGAATATACTTAATACTACTGAACTGTATACTCAGAAACAGCTAAGATGATAAATTTTATGTTGTGTTTTTTACCACAATTTTTAAAAGATTATATGTCAAAATTGTCTCACAGTCAAGGGCCTGTTCATGGTCTTGTACTTTAAACACTTAAATTTTCCCCCAGTGCTCTTCTTCATACAAGGATGGGAAACCAGAGGAACAGAAGTGGAGTCTATGCAAAATTCGTACCCCAAGTACACGAACCTTTTTTTCCATCTGGTGGAAACCGTGCCTTAATAATCACTGGCTCTTGGTTGGTAAGTATTAGTGTCTCTCCCTTTGGCTCAAACTGAAGCAGGTCATTCTGGACCAATTTTAGATGGTGTGTCATATTAATTACCAACCTAAAAATCTCTTAGCCCATAAATAAAGTGCAATTTCCCAAGTCTGAGAGTTTATATGATACATGTAATATTATATGATACAAACTGGTGGCAGTGGTTATTACTAGTTTATCAACTAACTAGTTGATCATTAATTTAAATTTTCTTCTTTGTATATTTTAAATTTTTCTATATTTTTATAGTAAATATTTTATAATTGGAACAATATCATCAATGATATAACCCAAGAATTATCCTTCAGATGATTAAAGTCTTGGGAATGGTACTTTTTTAAAAAATAAATTTATTTATCTTGGGCTGCATTGGGTCTTTGTCGCTGCGTGTGGGCTCTCTCTAGCTGCGGCAAGCAGGGGCTACTCTTCGTTGCTGTGTGTAGGCTTCTTATTGCCGTGGCTTCTCTTGTCGCAGAGCATGGGCTCTAGGTGCGCAGTCTTCAGTAGTCATGGCCCGCAGGCTCAGTAGTTGTGGCTCACGGGCTCTAGAGCGCAGGCTCAGTAGTTGTGGCGCACAGGTTTAGTTGCTCCGTGGGCATGTGGGACCTTCCCGGACCAGGGCTCGAACCTGTGTCCTCTGCATTGGCAGGTGGATTCTTAACCACTGCGCCACCAGGGAAGCCCGGAATGGTACTCTTGTTATTAAACCCCAAATGGTTAGAATCCTTTCCCTTTCTGATGTTCACAGAATGAAATTCTTCTCGAGAAAAAGACCAAGAGAAGTAAGATTTTGAAACTGAAGTTCCCCAGGACAGAAGAAGAAAGACGAATGAGGACACAAAGTAAGAGGAGGCTGGAAGCTAAAAAAGAGCAGCAGCAGCAGAACTTTGTCGACCTGGCCTGTGAGTGCAGTGCGGTCATCTGCTGCCGGGTCACCCCCAAGCAGAAGGCCATGGTGGTGGACCTGGTGAAGAGGTACAAGAAAGCCATCACGCTCGCCATTGGAGATGGGGCCAATGATGTCAACATGATCAAAAGTGAGTCTCGCACATGGCCAGTGCCACCTGAATTGGTAGAGAGGAAATGGCAGGAACATTTTTGGGGGTAGTTTTTTTCTGATTTCATTGCTTGGGCTTTCATGAAGCAGACCTTTAATAAAGGCACTTAACTGTGGTAACTACACCTGTGACCCTGCCCTCAGGAAGCTTACAGTCCACTCAGTAGGAGAGCGCAGGCATGATTATTCTATACAAAGAGTGCCAATTCGAAGATGAGCTCTGTGTGGGTGAACTTATCCTTATTTGTTTCCTTCTTTTACATATGTTTGGATTTGGTTTTGTGTTTTCTCCTGCTGCTTCTCCTCCCATATTTCTTCAGGGCTTATTAAGAACCCTGCTATTTAATGTTTTGCAAAAATTCCTGCTGAGCTTGGCATAAATTATTGAACTCTGTTATTTGTTTTGGGAATATTATTCTCCCACACCTAAGCATTGTTTTCTGGGGCTTTCTTCTTGCCTTTGGTAAATCTGTTGAACTTCACCCTTAGGTGACCTAGTGTGAGCTCAGTGTAACATTGAAGCACAGCTCTGACATCGCCTCAAAATTCTCCTGACCTCCCAAGGTCATTCTGCTGGTTGGAGGACCCTAGGTACCCACAAATTGACAGATTGAGTTCTGTCACTGCAGAAATACAATTTTGCTGGTATTAAAAGCATACGGAACCAAACCCTCATCAATATGTCTGAATCCTGGTCCTTTTCCTCCCTGTATTACTTATACAGGAGTATCTTGTAATGAAAATGCCCAAACTAATGAGACCTGAATACTTGTCCTCATCCTGATGCCAGCATGCTGTGTCACCCCGGGCTCATGCTCAGGCCTCAGTTTTCTCATTTGAGAACAAGAAAATTATCTCTGATGTCACCTCTAGCTTTGTAGTGTTTCTCTTAAGATGAACTATCCATGGCATGTATACACACGTCCTGTGGTGCCGGGTAGCTTAAATGCATCGTATGTATAACTAGACTTTTACTTCAGCCTGTTTCGTAACTCTTCTCTTTCTTTCCTTAGAGTCTCTTCCTTCTCCTCCTTGATATATACTAAGAATGTTCCAACTTTATCTTCCTCAAAAGGAGTCAGCTATATAATGTACGTTTTCTCGCTTCTTCATGTGTATGTCTGTGGCCACGGCCAGTTTAATTTCTTTCCACCGTGTTTTGCACATATTCATCCTGCCATGCGAATGGCATTTCTTGCTCCGAGTTAGATCTATTTCTTTCCTCTGTAGCCAGCTCTAGTTTATTTTCCATTATGTACCTTTTAACATAAATGACTGTGCCAAAAGGGCAAGTGACTCAAACATTATTTTTCTTCAGTTATAATGAAGACTTCTAGATGCTGGAGGGGGACTCCGTTTCAGATTTCCCGATTACGTGACTGAGACTTGAAAACTCTTGTTCCTCTGAGTTCACCAACTGATAGCAAAAGGGATCACACAAAGTTGGCATAGATAACCTCCTAGAGACTGTTTTTTCGTTTTCAGAATTTTATTAAGCTCTGTTATGTGATACACACTTTTATATATAATGTAGGAGACATCCACTTGGGATGAAAATCAAAGAAACTCAGGTCTCCTTGGAAGTCAGTAGCTTAACCCAAGTATTAAGTGCCTTTTTGAACTCTGTGAAAACTGTCATCTCTTTTACCTACATCAAGAACAATGAACCGAAAGAAACTGTTTGTTGTTTATAAAGAAGTACAGTGAAATTTAAGTGTCCAAAAAATCTGACCATTTGCTAACATGTTTCATGGTTAGTGGTATAGTCTAGGAGAGGTGGAGGGAACTGCAGTCCACCATGGTTTGCCCCTAGCAAGGATCCAAGGACCCTCGGATACTGCCCTCTCTCCCGCTTGGGCCTGAAGATGGCTGGTGGGTGTTATTTTCCTTGGCCTAAATCCTGAGAATGAACAGGCAGCATTAGAGAGGCAAAAGGAAGCGACCAGCTTGTCAGGGAATTATGAAGTGGCCTACCGGGCAGGCATTTGAAACCACATCGGCAACTTCAGGGAAGTCTAGGTGCCTATGTTTAGGTTTTAGGAAAATACAAACAAAAAGCAGTGTGGCCTGATAAAGTTCATCTGTTCAGTTGCCGCTTTAACTGTGGCAGTGTACACTTCACATACGGTCCCTTGGTCTGCTCGGCAGTGGCTGGACTGGATGTCAGGGCCTGGGGCGGTGGCTCCTCTTCCTTGTCTCTGACAGAATCTCAACATTTCCCTGTTATTTGTTCAGAAAAGAAGGCCATGGTTTGGTAGGAAAGAACAGTTTGGCAACCACAACTGGTCATTAAGAACTATTTATGTGTATAAAGAGGTTGTAAGTATTGATTGAGATGCAATTAATTCTATTTTATAGAATTGCAAAGTGTTATTAAAAACTTAGGTTTTGGACAAGTCACTGTGTTAATGCCAGACCTTGTATTCTGCAAGTGGGGCAGGAGTTGTGGAGCTTCTTTTAGTTGGAGACTCTGCTGAGCTGGCAGGCACTTCTCAGGGTCTGAGTAGTAATAGGTTGTATTCTGCAACACATGTTCTAAAAATGATCTCACTTCCATGACTCTTAAGACCTAGATAAAACTCATAATTCTCTAAGTGGAACATGTGGTTTAATGACTATTGGGAGGATGGATAAAATTGGGACTTTCATTTTTATCCATTCTGGAAACCTCCCCTCCTCAAAACAACTGTGTGTCTTGGGGTCTCAGTGGGCCATGCATAAGCCTTTGAAAGTTTAACAGTATCTAAGTTTAAACACTTTTGGTTGCAAGTATTGGAGAACAATTCAAGTTAGCTTAAGACAAAAAGAAACCTATTTTAAAAGTTACAAATATGTCTCATGCTGCTCAAGAAGCCAGGCCTCAGGAATATGCTAGAACCAGGACCTGAAGCTGCACCAGGAACCCAGTGTCTGCCCTTCTCTCTCATCCTTTCTCTAGACTACTTTATTTCTCTGCCCCTCAGAAAGAAGTATATCCATCCCACAACTCAAAAATTTACATGTTAAAATTCCAAACACAAACACACCCAAATCCTAACTCCAAAATACCAAGAGACTCAGGGAAACAGATCCCTTTAGGTACTTTAAGCAGGAAGTGATTAATAGAGGGGACCAGGTGCTCATGAAAATTCTGGATGAACTGAAGAAGTAGGTTCTAGGCTGTGTCTGCACGTCTGGGTCACTCACCAGAGGAGCTTCTAGCTTTGAGGCTCCTCTGAAGAGCTTTCCAATTGAGAAGCCCTTGCAGTTGTTTATCAACATCTGGGCAGCTGGAGAATGGATATGAATTCTGCTGCAGAAATGCCAAAAAGGGAAGGGATGCTGGGCTCCAATTTGCTTCTGCTTCCAAGTCACAAGCAGGTCCAAACAAGTGGAACTTAATTCACAAAGAGAACCTAACTGCAAGGTAGTCGAAGCAATGTAGGGTTTTTATTTGCTTTCCCACCTCTCCAATTAGAACAAAAGTTCTAGAATGAAGGAGAGCCAATTCGTAGTAGCTACCATAGATTATGTATCTGCCCATGGCTGACTCAGCTGTGGCCAGGGAGGCAGGGACACACGGTACACATGGATGCCTGGGGCTCACCCTTTGGGTGAGAAGGATGGCTTATGAGCTGGGCAGATAATCCAAATGGAATTCATTACCCACTTGAGATCCTTTCACAAATATTTATGGAAGCCCAACCACGTGCTATGTTTAGCAACTTGTACTTCTGAGTTCAGAAGCTGGGGGTGGGGGATGGTGAGCAACAGTTTTCACATTTATTGTTTCATAAATTTGAGGGGTTTTTTTGTATTGCTACGGAAACATTTTTATCATCTCAATGTTTTGCCTTAAAATAAGCTTATGATTCAGTTATCTTCTCCCCACCCCCACAGCTGCCCACATTGGTGTTGGAATAAGTGGACAAGAAGGCATGCAAGCTGTCATGTCAAGTGACTATTCCTTTGCACAGTTCAGATACTTGCAGAGACTGCTGTTGGTGCACGGCAGGTGGTCTTACATAAGGATGTGCAAGTTCCTACGATACTTCTTTTATAAAAACTTTTCATTTACTTTGGTTCATTTCTGGTACTCCTTCTTCAACGGGTACTCTGCACAGGTAATATACCATCATCATTATTATTAAATGAGTAGAGCTCTTCTCTTACATGAATAAAACTACGTCTGAAATTTTCTTCCCCCTCCATATTTGCAGTTTTGGTGCTCTCTCTTAACAGCTGAGGTACAGATTAAGTTTATGAATCTTCTAAAATGTTTCTGGTGCTTTAAACCTATTTTATTTTGCCTTTAAAAAGGTAGGATTTGTTCCTGGTCTGTTGACTTTTGTTTATGTGTCTTTGCCTTCACCATAGATTTTTTTTTTCCCAAGTCACCTTGCCATTAAGAATAGTGATAACAAATTGTTCAACTTTGAAAAAATTGTTCAAATTTAAGTATAAAATTACATTGGGGCTGAAGGGATTATATAAATTGGGGATGATCATAGATCTAACATCACGTCTCCACTGTTGGTTTTTAAATTTTAACATTTTGCTGAAATGGGAGTGGGGGCATATCTACAATGTTAAATTGTTGATATGGCAGAAACACACCATTAGCAAAAAACCTAAGTCAGTGCCTGTGGTTGTCCAAACTTCTTTGATGCTATGCTACAGACAACTGGCATGAGAGGAGGCCAGGTGTAGAAACTGGAGGCCACGATGTCTTGGGGTTTTGAGCAAGGTTGGGGCCGCCTTCCTGTTTCTGTGCAGGATGGTGTATCACTGTTGGTGCTGAGTAAGCCCATTTCCTCTATCCCCCACTGAGGACTGGGGTGTGCACAGCCTTGCTTATCCTTTTCAGAAGCATCTTTCTTATATTCAAATTCTGGTTTATAAAATGTTTAAATGGAAATGCTGGACTGGCAAGAGAAAAGTATATTTGAACGGTACTTACGTGCTTTTGAACCAGTTGTATGTAATCTAATTCATTAATAAAAGGGATATTAAAAGACGATGAACACTGATTTGTTTTCCAGCATTCTTCAAATAGACCAGACTCCTTTTCCAAAAACTTTTCAGAGTCTATTTCCCCACTTATTTTATGGGGAAGATAATTGCCTGTGGAAAGCCCTTTGATTCTGTCCATTCCATCAAAACAAACTCGTGCCTGCTACTGGCATAGCTGGCGGGGGGAGGGGTGTTTACTTTCCCTGGGGACACCCCTGCTTTGAGGGCAGATGCGCACGTATTAACTAGGTGGGCAACATTTCTTCGTCGGTGACACAGACTCTGTCATCTCCTCACAGACCGCGTACGAAGACTGGTTCATCACCCTCTACAATGTGATCTACACCAGCCTGCCCGTCCTCCTCATGGGGCTGCTCGACCAGGTAGGAGCCTGGCGCTGACAGGGTCGCTTCTGGACAGACTGAGTGACTGTTTCAAAGCAAATATTTCAATGCATTCTTTTGGTTTTCACTTCTTTCTGAGTGAACCCTATTATATTTCTGCTGTCAGACAATCAGAGCAACTGCTATGCTTGTTTTATAGTAAGAAAAGAGGATTTCTGTGCCTGGGTTGAATTCATTGACAACAGAGTTTACTACCCTCATTTCGGACACTAAGATTTTCTTGTTAGATACCTAACAGTATGTCTCTACAATAACAACTTACACATCTTTAAAGTAAATTATTTTAATACCTCCCCAAACTTACAGGTTTAATTTCCAAATTAGTCCGCATTCTATCTAGTAGCAACTTTTACAGAAACTGCTTTCAAAAATAAAAAGAATAATTTGGAATTAACTCATCGATGTGTATGTGAAAATGCTTTCCCAAAGTATTAGAAAAAATGTATTCTCAGAAAGTAAAAATCGGCTTCCTACACTTCTTTAAACATTACTGATCTGCTTTCTTAAGTAGCAAAATAGTAATACTTTACCTAGTCTCAGAATTAAATATCAAATGATGGTGGACTACAGTAACGAGGTTGCTCTCTGCACAATGAAATTATTCAGGATTTATCATCTTGTTTAGTTTTTGCCTTCCTAGAACTTAACAAGTTGCAACTCCTTTCGAGATGGAGGTTGTGACGTATCTCTTGAGTTCTTTGATCCTGATGGACAGCACTAAACTGTAATTGTGTTTTCCCCTTAAGGATGTGAGCGACAAACTGAGCCTCCGCTTCCCTGGGTTATACATGGTGGGACAAAGAGACCTACTATTCAACTACAGGAGATTCTTCGTAAGCTTGTTGCACGGGGTTTTAACATCTTTGGTCCTCTTCTTCATACCTCTTGGAGCTTATCTGCAAACTGTGGGACAGGATGGAGAGGCGCCCTCAGACTACCAATCTTTTGCTGTCACAATTGCCTCTGCTCTTGTAATAACAGTCAATTTCCAGGTATGTGGCTTTAGTCAACTGTTTTCAGTACCTGTTGGTACTGTATGCGTTTCTGTATGTAGACCAGCGTGCACATCCGCCTGGCTCCCATTCTTCCTCCAACTGAGGCTCTGCTGCTTTGCAAATATGAATGGATGCTATTCTCATCCCTTATACCAAACATATTTCCTATTTCTTGCCTGAGCCAAAGATAGCTTCTGATTGTTCAGTATTCAAGCCATTGAATACTTGAATACATTCAAGCCATACCATGCTTAAATTGCTGAATTCTATTTTCAGAATCCTTAGATCCTTTATTTCTTGCTAACTCCCCAAAATGAGTGCTCTGTTTTTCTCTGGTTTCCCAACAGATTGGCTTGGATACTTCTTATTGGACTTTTGTGAATGCTTTTTCAATTTTTGGAAGCATTGCAATTTATTTTGGCATCATGTTTGACCTTCATAGTGCCGGAATACATGTTCTCTTTCCATCTGCATTTCAATTTACAGGTTGGTATTTTCTAAATTCCAAAAATAAATAAATAGAAAAATGTCATTAATTTAGATTCTGACATAACTTCAGGGTAAGTAAAAACATAAACTGTAAATTACTGCTAGTGAAAATTAATGTCCTGACTAGAATTGGGGGTGGTGGGTTGGAAGGGTGGTAACGTGATGGGAGGAAAGCAAATTAAAATAACTAAGCTATAATTGTGCTTTTTTTCTTCCATAAAACCTAGTATTAGTAGGTTATTGGGAAACTGGGAATACATGTATTGCTGGTAGCACTATAGTTTAATCTTTCTAAAGCACTACCTAGAAATATGTAATGAATTTTTGTGTACATTTTGATCCAGTATTTCCACATGGGGAAAGTACCCTAAGATGAAACACACCAAATTTTGGAAAGATAATCTGTACAAAGACTGTATCACTACAACATTTCTAATTGTCTTTTAAAAATTGGAAATAACCCTCCCTAAGACCTAAGAATATCAAATTAGCTAAACAAACTATGAATCCCAGATGATGGAATTCTAGAACTTAAAAGTGGACTGCATCATTGGAAATACATATACAGAGCAATAAGTAAACTTATGGAAAACAAAACAGTTTACAGCTATATAAAATATATGACAAATTGACAAATGCTAGAATGAAATGATAAATATCAAAATATTATAAATAGCGTGAATTAGAATTTATGAACATCTTATTGTGGATAGAGTAGTTTGGATTCACAGTGGAAAAAAATTCCCCATAAACTCATTTCCCTGTAAAAGATTAGGTTTTTCTTTGTTTTAATGATCAGTTGTTGGGTTATAAAAGACAATTGCTGTGGTAACCCTTTTCTTATTGGGATTGAGCTCATTTTTTTTATGACTGTGTTCTTGCTTACTGACTCTGTGTTTTAAAATTTTAGTACCCACTTACTTAGAATATTCCCATAGGGAATGTGTTTTAAACCCATACACATTTATGCTATTATTTTTATAAACTCACAGTGTAAGTACAGAAAATATTGTGAGAAATTTGGTTCTAGTTTTAAAATTGAGTAGTATATGGTCACCTGGTTGTATTACAGAATTGAATTGTTACTTCCTCTGACATAAAAACTAGTAGCCTAATTCAGTGGTAAAAGCCTAGCTCTAGTCAGATGGACATGGGTTTTAATTCAGGAGTTGCCATAGCTAGTTCTGTTACCTTGGGCAATTTTTTTTTACTCTCCACAAACTCAGTTTCTTCATGTGATAGAGGGCAATACTCCTCTCTCAGAAATGATTAAGTGGCATGACCTAAAACACCCAGCATAAGGCTTATCCCACAAATGGCAGTGCCCATTGTTAATACATGGCGTTTCAAACCAAAACTATAAATTGGAAGTGCTTTTTTAAGTTCCTGAAAAAATCCAAAAGTATAAATTGCCTACTTTTCCATTTTTAATTAATGCAATGTCAACAAATGTACTTTCTTTTTTCGCTATTTATATGTTCACTTATATACATTTGCCTTGTTCCAAAGAATATACGTGCCGAATTCTACTTTGCTTAGTCTGGTTTTAAAATGTTCATTCCTTGAGCAGTGGTGGGATGTTCTCGGGAGGGCAATCTGGTTGTAAAAGCTCATCACAGAGAATCCACTTGTGGACTGTGGAATATCAGCTATGCCCCCCTTGGGATGAAAACCATTGTGATTCATTCTCTGTGCTTCTTCCAGGCACAGCTTCAAATGCTCTGAGACAGCCATATATTTGGTTGACCATCATCCTGACTGTTGCTGTGTGCTTGCTGCCTGTTGTTGCCACACGATTCTTGTCAATGACCATTTGGCCATCAGAAAGTGATAAGGTATAGAAAAAGAAAGTCTTCTCCTAACTCTGAGTGCCTCTCACAGAAATCAAAGCATTTCTCCAAAGCAGCTTTCCTGCAAAATTCTAAGCTCTTGGGAAGTTTGGTCTGAAAATTTTTTAGGACTACTCTTTTTTTTATTACAAAAATTACCAAATATCAAAAGGAAAATAGTATAATGAACCCCCATATATCTATCCTCTCAATTTAGCAATTATACTATTAATATTTTGCCCTGCATACAGGTTGGGGTTTTTCTTCATTTAAAGGAAAATGAAAAGTCTTGTAGCAGGATCCTTTGAGCTACAAGTAACAGGGAGATATGGCTCAAAATGGTTCAATGATGATGTATCACCTCCACTCACATCATAATTAGGTTTCAGGCTCAGCTGATGGGCAACTTAATGTTATCAAAAAAGAACTGGGGTTTTTTCCATCTCCCCCCTCTGCTGAAAGATGGCTACAGGAGTTCCCGGCATTGCAAACTTTTAACAGCAAACTTTTAACAGCAAACTTTTGTGCCTGCCTATATGTAAAGTATTTTATAAGGGATTTGAACAGAGACCTCACTCTTTTCTACTTGTCTTATGTCTTGAGAGAAAAGGCTGTTGGTCCTGACATGTCAATATCCAGGGGAAGATTAAAGACTGATTATGCTGTTGCTTTCCCTTAGGAGCCTGGCAACTTTTTTTTGTTTTGCCTGGGAACTTTTTATGGAAGGGCCCAGCACACTTTTCTCAGGCCTCATTAGCCAGAATTAGATCACATGCCCATTCCTGGACTAGTAGAGGGCAAGTCAAGTCGATCAGTCCTACCCCTGGGGGTGGCGTCCACATGGAGGAATGTGGCTGTAAGCAGGAGGATGGTACCTGAGTAAACTCCATTTCCATCAGAAAGGAGGAGAGAACAGCTGCTAGATAGGTAGCCTTCACTATCCTCCAGCTTTCCCTCCTCCACTGACAAGGGTGTGCAGTAGCAACCCAGAAGGAGGCTAACAGTCTTTTCTAAACCTGTACCTTTATGAAATGGAAAGAGCACTAGTTTAGGAGTGGGAATCCTGGCACCCCATTTTCTAGCTCTGAGAGCTTAGAAACGTCATGTAACCTGCCTCCCTCCATTTCCTCCACTTTAAAGCGAGTATGGTTATGCCCGCCCCCAAATGAGGCAGGTGTGCAGCCAGTTCTTTTTTAACCTTACCCCATCTCTCCTGCTTTCGTAGATTCAGAAGCACCGAAAGCGGTTAAAAGCCGAAGAGCAGTGGAAGCGGCGGCAGAATGTGTTCCGCCGGGGCGTGTCCGCACGGCGCTCGGCCTACGCTTTCTCCCACCAGCGTGGCTATGCCGACCTCATCTCCTCCGGGCGCAGCATCCGCAAGAAGCGCTATCCCCTGGATGCGGTCATCGCCGATGGAACGGCAGAATACAGGCGAACCGTGGAGAGCTGAGGCGTTTGCTTCAGGTGACCTGTAGCAAAACAATCACACAAAGTAAAATGTCTTCTTTTTTTATGAGAGACTCGACTTCTTGGGGGAAAAAAAAAAATTTGTCACGAGGATGTTGAAGGCAATAACCTTTTTAACAAGCTACAATACTTGGGTTGGACTACTGCAATAGCAAAGCCAAGGAGACCTTTCGAAAAGTCGTATTCTTCAACTGTTGATGTTTTGTTTTGATTCAAAGTGAACGTTTTTAACCCCATCTCAATCTAGGACAAGAGAATTAGAAAACGTCTTATTTCAGTTCAAATGGTATTGTACTGTAAAATTACAATTAGATTTTCCTGTCTGGGATCTTCAGCACAAATTTCTCAGACGCTCCTTTTTTCCGGGAGTCCACCCTACTAACAAAGATCTTTTATTTACAATGGTAGTAACGAAAGATTCATGAATGTTCATCCCCTAGAAGCTAAGTGGTCTGATGACTTTTTCAGAGTCGATAATGGGGCTGCCTGGTTTCATGTTCTCATATTGGTTTACTAATTCAGCTCAATCAACAAAAATTACTTCACGTTTCATAAGTACAAGGTTTTGATCTGTTTCAGTTTACTACCAGGTTAAAAGAGCACATTACATACGTTTACTCTTACTATTATATATTATTTCAGACACTTCCTGTAGTACCAAGTGCATTTATTTTCTACTGTCATTAAAAAAAGATACTTAAATATTTATGGGCTTTTTAAAAAAAAGCTTTTAAAAACTGAGGGTATCAGTGATAAATTGCAGAATATTTTGCAAAGCTTTCTTTTGAAAAGCAAACTTTTGTGCCTGCCTATATGTAAAGTATTTTATAAGGGATTTGAACAGAGACCTCACTCTTTTCTACTTGTCTTATGTCTTGAGAGAAAAGGCTGTTGGTAGCCATATTTCTAAGACTAACAGTGTATCATTTTAAAACTGAACATAACTTTAGGCAATTATGTAAACTATCCTCAAAGAGGTAAAAGTTATTTATCCAGGGGCTTTTCTCACTCTGTGTGTTTCACACACTAGTTTCCATGTTTCAGTGAAGACAGAGAAGTGTCTTCAATAATTCTGTTCTTTACCATTAGGTTGTGAATGTTCACAATATCTGTTCCTTTGAATTCCTTATGAGGAAATCACAGCATGTATATAGTTCATTGTCTAGATATGAAAAGAATATAGCTCTTTAGTCTACGGAAGTAAATTTCCAGAAGTTTACAACTTTTCTTTATCTTGTAAATTTAAAAATTGTAAGTTTTTTTGTGTAATTCTGTCAGTTTCAGATTTCTCTCCCGTTTTGCAAATTGTGGGAAAGGTCGACAATGCAAATGTGTCAAAGACTTACATGGTTGGGTGCAATATTAACAATTTTAAAATGCAAATTGCTTTGGATAAATTATTTCTATATTCTGTAAATCTGAGATTAATGTATATTTTTGTTTAAAAAATAAATGCTTTAGTAAAATCTTTGGAAGTACAATCTTTTAAAATATTTTTTAAGCTGGGTTTTTTATTTTAGACTGGGGCAGATGATGGAAGAATCTAGGCCTGCCTGGTTTTTAAAGGAACATAGGTGGTAAGAAGTAAGTTACTGGCAGGGTACTAAGTGTTAGGGTCAAAGTGGCTGAGAAAAGGATCAGACTACAGAGGTAGAGGGTATGGATTTATGGTTGGCAAGACCAACTGTATCCCGGGAGGGTGCATCTTAGGATATTAGGGAACAGTTTTTCCAAGTGACCTCAACTCTTTGGAGCCAGAATAAAAGCAAAGGTAAGCCTTGACCAAAAGTAGGGGCTGGGAAGTGAGTGCTGCCTTCATGTGATGTGAATGAAGCTTAGGAAAATTTTAAGACAGCTTCTAAAAGTCTTGTCAGAATCTGCTTCTAAGTTATAGCTGTAATAAAACTTCTGGTGCACGGGACTTCCCTGGTGGTACAGTGGCTAAGAATCTGCCTGCCAATGCAGGGGACACGGGTTCGAGCCCTGGTCCGGGAAGATCCCACATGCCGCAGAGCAACTAAGCCCGTGTGCCACAACTACTGAGCCTGCGCTCTAGAGCCTGCGAGCCACAACTACTGCAGCCCGCACGCCTAGAGCCTGTGCTCCACAACAAAGAGAAGCCACCGCAATGAGAAGCCCACACACCGCAACAAAGAGTAGCCTCCGCTCGCCGCAACTAGACAGAGCCCGCACATGGCAACAAAGACCCAACTCAGCCAAAAAATAAATAAATAAATTTATATATAAAAAAAAAAGGCTCATACTCTCAGACCCACCTGCACCAGGGCCCAGCACAGAAGGAGCCAACTGAAATGCACCCAGACTTTATGTAAGAGGCTTTATTGCTTACCTTAGAGTGTTGGTCCGAGGGGCAGGGGTCAGATTTAACACACATGCCTGCTGGGGTACCCTCCAAGGACAAAGGCTGGTGGATGCCATCTTTGTCTCACTCCTGCCGGCAGGGCGCCATCTTTTTAGTATTTTAATCTACATTCTTTTTTCCCCCCAGTCAGCACCATCTTTACGCCCTCCCTATGCTGCAATGTAGAGCACCAGTATCTCCAGAGGGGAGCTTTTACATGCATCTGGTACCCTTTTTTTTATGTCTGGTACCCTGGTTTTTGTGACTACAACTCAGGGGACACCCCTGATTGCCTGGCTCTGGCGGCCAGTGGGGCTTATGCTCATGGGTCCAGCAGGACTGTAACCAACAGCAAAAGAGTTCTTAACCGGCTACCATCTCCAGGGCACAGCAAGAGGCAACAGTCCGAGGAGTCTTACTATGAGAGGCCCACTAACTTATCTTCATAACTGTGGCCTGAGATTTCCAAGGAAGCACACATCTAAGTGTCTACTGTAATGCTCTCCAGCAGCCTCAGAGCGTGAGCACTCTCTTTGCGCTTTCACCCTACAGCCATCAGAGCACTACTGTCTCCCAGGGAGGAGCTCATACATGTGTCTGGTCCCAGGTTTTACATCTGGTGCCTCAGTTTTTGTGGCTGCCACCTAGGGGATGCCCCTTAATCACCTGCCTCTGGGAGCCAGCAGGGCTTGTGTTACTGGATCCCATGGTGTTGTTATAAATGGGGAGACAGTTCTTGGCCTGCTACCACCCCCAGGGCACAGTGAGACAGCAGACTGAAACAAACCCCAGTCATTCTGTGATAAAGGAATATTTGCTTGTCCTGGAGCTTTGGCCTGAGGGGCAGGCTTCTGGTTGGATGTAGGGACCTACTGAGATGCTCTCCTTGGACAAAAGCCAGAGGACACCATTTTTGTGCTCTCCACCTGCCCACCAGTATCTCTCAGAAAGGAGTTTGTACAGTTGTCTGGAGCCCCAATTTTTGTGACTGATACCCAGGGGGACACGTTTAGGGTATCCAGCTTTTGCAGCCAGCAGGGCTTATGCTTGCAGTCCTTCAGTACTGTATATATTTGTATATGCTGCTACCTGAGAGTCTAGCTTCCAATAAGCCTGCTAACTGAGACCCTCCTCTATGGGATACTGACAGGTCTTGCACACGCTCAACAACTGAGAGCCTCTAAAATTAAAATGGGCAGCCTGGACAATCACAAAGGTATGAGAGACAAGCAAGAGCTAGGGCAGGGCTGGATGACAAGGTTCTCCTACATGAGGCCACCCCCTCAAGATTAAGGAGAGGTGGCTGTTTTACCTCCGCATAGACACCAAGACAGAGAGTCAAGGAAAATGAAGAAATAGAGAAATATGTTCCAAATGAAATAAGATAAAATCTCGGAGAAAGAATGTAATGCAGATAAGTAATTTACCTCATAAAGGGCTCAAAACAAAGATCATAAAGATGCTTACCAAGCTCAGGAGGGGAATGGATGAACACAGTGAAATCTTTGACAAAGAGATAGAAGGTATAAGAAAGTATCAAATAGAAGTCACAGAGCTGGTGGTTGGGGGGTGGGATGAACTGGGAGACTGGGATTGACATACAGACACTACTATATAGAAAACAGATAACTAATGAGAACCTACTGTATAGCACAGGGAACTTTACTCAATGCTCTGTGGTGACCTAAATGGGAAGGAAATCTAAAAAAGAGTGGATATGTGTATGTGTATAACTGATTCACTTTGCTGTACAGAAGGAACTAACACAACATAGTAAATCAACTATACTCCAATTAAAAAAAAAGTCACAGAGCTGAAGAAACAATGATCAAACTGAAAAGTACACTACTGGGGTTCAACAGTAAACTAGACGAAGCAGAAGAAAGGACAAGTGGGCAGTGGACTTCACCTAATCAGAGAAACAAAAAGAAAAATGAAAAAAAGTGAAGATAGCTTAAAGGACTTACGGGACAACATCAAATGGACCAACATTTGCATTAAAGGGGTCACAGAAATAGGAGAGAGGAGAAGACTCATTTGAAGAAACAACAGTTGAAAACTTCCCTAACCTGGGGAAGGAAACAGACACCTAGGTGCAAGAGGAACAGATAGTTTCAAATAAGAACTCAAAGAGACCCACACCAAGACATATTATAATTAAAATGTCAAAAGTTAAAGACAAGGAGAGAATCTTAAAAGCATGAAGAGGAAAACAACTTTTTATGTACAAAGAATCCCCCCTAAGACTATCATGAGATTTTTGAGCAGAAGTTCTGAAGGCAATATAGGGAGTGGCATGATATATTCAAAGTGATTAAAGAAAAAAAACTTTGAACAAAAGAACACTGTATCTGGCAAAGTTGTCATTCAGAACTGAAGAGATAAAGAGTTTTCCAGACAAGCTAAAACTAAAGGAGTTCATCAACACTAGACCAGCCTTACAAGAAATGTTAAAAGGACTTCTATAAGCTGAAAGGAAACTGTGCTAATCAGTAACAGGAAAACATGAAAGTCTCACTGGTAAAAGTAAATATATAGTAAAATTCAGAATAATCTAATGTTATAAAGGTGGTACATTAATCACTTATAAAGCTAGTATGAAAGTTATGTAAAGGCCAACTAGCCCGAGGCAGGGGAATGCAATCAGACTCACAGGTTGCATCAGACCAAAACTTTCGGGACCACCCAGTTCCAGAAACTGACCT